AATCTTACTCAGAAATATCTCAAATCATTTTATCCTAAACCATGAACAAATTTCTGACACTAACACCTCAGGAATTCAAACTGCAAACTAATTTATCAAAACCACAGTAGGGTTTGGCACTTGTCGTATTGGGCATGGAGTCAAGATTTATCCATTTGCTACATCCTTCCACCTCAAAAAAAAATCAATCATTTACTTCTTTCCATGTTTGTCATATGTTTGACCATAGAATGCATTGAAACGTGGTTGGAACACACTTCTCATTCTGAAACAACCTTGACAACTTTTCAACAAGTCTTCAATATCTTTAATTAATTTTTGGATACCGAAAATTAGATTCTTGCTACTGCTTTCATATGGACCATCCCTGTGAGCTCTTGATGAAGTTTCTTGAATGATCTCTAAACCTTGACAAAATAATGACTCAAACTCCACATGGGGTGGCATTGACCTTCTCTCTGTTCTAACGTGTGAAATTGCAATTTCTCATCATCACATTCTCTCAGCTAGACATTCATGACATTGCTGCAACTTTACCTAATACCACATCCTTACAAGTTTCTTCTAAAATCTCTAGTAGATTCTGCCATATCAATTGTGTCTGTCAAGTAATTCACAGGTAACTTGTGGCTAGAAATAAATCAATCTTCATGGGAAATCTTGATTGAATGTCCACATTTGCAAGATCTGCTGACTTATGGGATTTAATATATTGTAGTAATTTTATCATTTGTCCTCCTTGTTCAAAGTACTTTGCATTTCAAAGCTCTCCCTCAATCGCAGGTGTGCTTTTTTTCAATTTCTATTCTAAATAACTCTGCACAGATTAGTTTTTTAAAGTCAATTCCTTCTCATCATGGAATCTTACTGTTACTACTACAATGGCAGATATTAGGATGTACCGTTGTACTGCACTCTGAAGTCAGCTCAGACTGGACATTATGACTGATATAACTAGTCAGTATCAGTTTTGTGTGAGGGAATGTAACTTAGCAATTTATTGTAACCTCTTTCTGAGATAACAGACCACATGTTTATCAACAATACAAATAAGTAGTGAATCCGCAATGTTACTTTCTATTACGGTGTTGGAATTTTATCTTCAGCCCAATACTTTTATCCTTCCAAGTTCTATTTTTCTTGCTTTATCACTGAGTCATTGTTATCTTCCTGCTCAATAACATCAACGTTAGTTGCAATATTATCATACGCCCATTTAATGTTCCTCATACACCTGAACAAACTTTGGATCCACCATAACCTCACCCTGGTTCAAGACCTGGAGCATCACTGTTTCCTCCACTCCTGTGTCTTGTCTGAATATCATTGAATTTCCTACAGGCAGAGCATGTTGACAAGAAATGGGGGCATTTAAGTGGGTGGTAGCTACAATGGGAACTGTAATATTCCAGTTTCCGACACTGAGACTGTGAAGTTGGGGCCATAGCCTTGATCTCACTGAAATTCATGGGGCCTTCTCTGAAAAAGGAGCTCCCTCGCTTTCTATAACTCTCTTTCTGCCACGTCCAGTCCTGCAGCCTCTTTACACACTTCTTCCCACATCATCTCATTGCCTTTGCTCTAATGCTTGATCTGGATCAGTCATGATCTCACTGAAAGGCAGTACTGACTTGATGGGCTGAATGGCCTACTTCTGCTACTTCAGTTCCTATTTCTTATGGTCTTACCAATTTTACTTTTTCTTTTAAGCTTCCTCTGAACATGTCTCGACTGTCAATTTCTAAGTTCACACCATGTCTACAGCAACAAGACAGATTTTTTTTTAATTTAAGAACACAATGTTTGACTTGGCAATTGCTCTGTTATGAAATGGAAAATTCAGTACAATCTCACTTTTGGTCATGCCATAATATGAATCCCATCTCATTCATTTCAGGACAGTTCACAGTACTGGGGTCTTTTGGATAACACTGGTTGGACACCACCTCAAATGCATCTGGCCCCATCATGGTGAGGAAAACATCAACTTGATCTTCAACTCTTATTTATTTGCTTTCAGTCAAATGTGAAACTTTCCTCTGTAATTGCACTAGTCCTTCCTGCTGCGATTGGATACTCCTATTGCCCCTAAATATGCCTTCAGTATCCTCTTCCCATTAAGTACTGTCTGACTCACTGTAGATGAACACAATGTTCACAAGGAACAATCTTTCAAACTGATCAATCTTACTGAAAGATAGTAGGAACTGCAGATGCTGGAGAATCTGAGACAACAAGGTGCAGAGCTGGATGAACACAGCAGGCCAAGCAGCATCATAGAAGCAGGAAGGCTGACGTTTCGGGCTTGGCCTGCTGTGTTCATCCAGCTCCACAATCTTACTCAAAATCAAGTTTAGAGGCATTCCAAGGTGACACAACCTCTTTCAGTCCTTGGTTCCTGAAAGGAAGTAATTTTATCCCAGCATCATTCTATAGTGTGTAGCACTGAGAGAGACTTGCTCATCTACAGGCAGCCATTACTGAACTAACCTTATTTACACCTCCCAAACAGAGAGGGGAAAAGAGAGTGTAACATAATGAAAGACTCGTATCTCGCAATGTACTGCAAGTGAAGCTCAAACAAAAAGAAGTTCAGTAACTGGTTTTGGAACGTGTCTTTCTAAGGGAAAGTGTAGCAAAGTGGTAACAGTCAAGACTGTCTGGGATCAAAAACAAAGTTGCTGGAAAAGCTCAGCAGGTCTGGCAGCATCTGTGAAGGAAAAACACAGTTAA